AGGCTGCACAGTTTGTTTTCTTATTATGGGAATGAATGCCTCCACCTGTCACATCGCCATGCACACAGTCTGATAAGGATTTCATATCTGGATTGTCAAAACGCTGTTATCAATGCTTCAGTGATGCAAGATCGGACCACCATGTGTTAGGAAGAGGCAATAAAAAGCAACGCCTTTAATTTCCCTCCGCTGCTATAATTAGGTCATTTATATTCCACACTTCATGATTTAAGAGAGAAGCAAAAGGGAAAAGTCGATATTGGGACTATACAGGCAGCAGCATTTCAGCCATCAGCTTGTCCAAGTCACTTTGCTGCTATGATTTATGTATGGCCTTGCTACATGGCTTCAGCAGGTAGCACCACGGTGATATACCCCACTGCCTGCCATTAATCCTTCTACTGATAACCTCAACATGCAAGAAAACCACCTTAAATCACCTATTGTCACCTGGCCCATCTACTGAAGGTGCTGAGAACATGTTTTAAAACCCCCAAAGGTCTCTCGACAAAAAGACAACTATTCTTCACCTTTGCTGGAAGATCCTGAATGTGAGAGGCAGAATGACATTTGTCAACCTGGTTCAAACCTCTGCTCCTCTTCAGTGGAGATCAAACATGCAGGAAGACGGGTACTAAACGTGATCTTATGGTAATCTCTTTACTTTGAGGCTTGTACAAACACATTGTTAAAAACAAGTTAACACAGATTTGGCCCTCCAATTCTGCATTATGTAGGACCTATACTCCGACTATCTCAACTCGCATAACATTATCCGTTTTAAACATTCACAGACTTTAAACCTACTTTAATAGCAAGGACTCTCTGTATTTCCCTGGAAATAGACTTTGTCTGTGGAGAGAATGGCTTATAAAAGTGGTTGCCCTTCCAGAGAATGTGAAATGGGTAAAATATGAGGAATATCTATCTAGAATCTCTCGTCCACCTTTGTTGAGAATTTAAGACCTTTTCTGTCCCGCTTGAGAACAAAAGTCCCACATACATATTAACACATTGTTCATTATCATATTTCATGTTTGACCTTCCCGAAGCTCAGCTGGGAACTCCATTAGTCCAGCTTTGCCCTGCAGTTCTGCAGCTCCCTTCTACACCTCCAATGTGTCTTTCTTGGCGAGTTCTTACCCAATGGGGTGTGAGCAGTAATTTGTCATGTCCCTCTAAGCGTAACCAAGATGAGATGGCAGGGGCCCTGGGGCACCACCTGAACCACCACCACTGGCGCTTATGTAATGGCAGGTTCTGAGAGAGAGCAGTGGATGGAAGAAATCTCTAAACAGCCAGGGAATACAAGAGAGAAGCCCACAGAAATCCTGCAACCAAGGGGGGTTGGGGGGGGGCTGCATTAATCATGACAATACCTTAAAAAGACAACCTCCATTACATCAGTCCAGAGAGGCAACCTCTTGGAGAAGAGAAGGCAGCAGTTGGAGCCACGGAATATACCAGGATGAAATTGCTTGAGGGGTTTCAAGAGAAATGGCTTCGGCTTCCCATGCAGGCAGTCCAGCATACTTCCCATGAAATCGCCCATGGCAAGCACAGAGGACATTCAAGGCTCCAGCCGCAGACCTTTACAAGTTCAGCTCCTCTGAGAGATGCTGTTGTCATAGAAAAGCTTGAACTTTAGCTCTAAAATGTGCAATTTTCTGTGCAAGAGAATAGTGACCCCATGGGAAAAACAGGTTTGATGGGATATCCAAAATCTCATAAATGCTATTCTGCGCTGCACACCTGGGAATTGTGCGCTGAAATGGAGTTAGATAAAGAGAAATCTGTATTCAGGGCCAGTATTCAATGCCAGTATCTCTGTAGCCTGGAACCTACAACTCACGACTACATCACAGCTATAATACAGCACCCTACATCTGAACTGCAGACAAATGGCCCTTGCAAGACGATGAGCACCAAAACCAATTACACAGGGGAGGACATAAAAGAGGGAAATGCAAATTGATCGATAAAAGCTCCTCATCTGGGTAAAAATTAGGTCCGGCTGTGCCTTGGAGCTATGCTGCAGAAAGCCTAGAGAGCTGTGCTGTGAGGTGGCACAACAAAGGGGGCCACATTTCCAACACCCCGCCGACATCTTCACACATCACAGCCTCGCACATCTCCACTCACAGGGTGCATGTCAACTGCATTTTGCTCTTCTCTCCTTCCATCTTTTTCTCTCTTTTCATCCCTTCCCCAGATGATCTATTTATTTATTTATTTTACTCCCTGAAGAACAACACCAGCATCAGCACTTAAGATCTCATCTGTTACAAGGAGATAGATCACACGCCATGCTGTAGTGGGTCTGTGGGAAAAAGGAAAATTTCGCATCTCGCCGCAGTGGGGTCCCACATCGAGTCCTGCGCATGTAGTAACATAGAAGGTCGACACCAACACAACACCACACATAATGCTGGCAAAAGCTTATTTTGAGAAAAGGCTCTCTAAGAGGTAGTTTAAGGGGAAAACAATGGATGGTCGACACAGCACTGAGTTAAACAAACAGATCAATAAATAAACAAATCAGCCACCAGCCTTCCTGCGTATCGCTGCAACCCAGAAGTAAATGTCATCTGCTGGTCAGGGATAAGTAAAACAGATCCCAGCGGCTGGCCTCTCTTGTTGTTTTTGACCATGCAGCAGAAAACAAAAACACCTCACATCTGCACATCTGCATTTACAAGGATATTAGGTCTAGTATTCCTGGCCGATTACCAGCCCCCCCCTCAATCATTTTGCCCTTTTTGTCATTCATGAATCAAGGCCGGGTGCCCCACTCTCTCCCCTGTTATATGTCCTCTACAAAGAGGAGAAGAAAGACAGGCAAAGACAGGGCAGCAGCTGTGAGTTTTAGCCTCCTGCTGACTGATGAAAATGACGCTCTGGGGAGGGTCAGTTTTGGAATGGAGGAGCCCACATGAGTCTTTGGCCTCTGGTCCAGGACATAAGCAGAAAGAGCCTAACCGAGCACACAACCCGACCTGCTCACATTATCATAATGATAGCAGCTCGTCCTGGCTGAATTTGATGAACCCTCCCGAGTGGGTGGTGAGCGTGTGATTGGAAATATTATCATGACTTTAAATCACTGTCACTTCTTATCTTGTAATAACAGCAGCGCTGTAGTGTGATTACTCTAAAGCTTGGCGCAGGAACATGAATGGTTTAATTCTTATTTTAATTATGTTACATGACAGATACAGAGGCATCTTCTGCACCACAAATTATGTCACTCTCAAAGTCATTTAAATTATTTTTCTAAAAACATGGCTAGGGCAGCAGAGGCAGGCTGGAGTTCACTACTGATGCATAATCCCACTGGTTTGGATAGGGTCTCAGAGGGTGTGAAAAAAAAAACACAATTAAAAATAGCACAAAGAAAAACAAAGCATGGCTTAGGTATCACTCATGTGTACTAAACCTTTCAGTGTTTCCATTTGTTTGCCGTAATGACAGATTAGATTCATGAGGCCAAACCAATCATCTCCAATTGTATGGTAGAATTTCTTAGATAAATTATTGACCTTCAAACATTTCTGGAATCTTAAGAAGGATATGCTATATTTTCTGGATGATATAAAATGGATATACCCATGTAAATTAGCTCAGACTGAACTTTAAACAAAACGTTGATTACCACCGCTTCCAAAGAGCAAATATGGCACTGCCCTTCCCCAGTTTAATTTAAAAATACACGTTTTCACCAGGTGCGTACGTTTACCCATCACCGACTTCCTTTCAAGGTGTCTCGGCCGTAATTTCTTGGGGAAATTATGATAAAACCAAAGAAAAAGACGGGAATTGAAGGCAGAGTTCGGCAGCCGTTGACGGTTAAAAGCGAAGCAGCCGTTAACGCGGCTGAGTGGAGGCTCGCGCGCTCGTTGTCGTGATTGGGTGGCGGTGGTTGGGCTGTTTAACCGCCGTTAAGTTGCGAGGCAGAGCACACACACTCATCCTCACACACACACTAACCGGCGAGGAAAAGGGAGGGAGTGCCGAGCGACGAGAGGAGGAGAAAGAGGGAGACCACGGCAGCCCTACGGTGACTTCTCGCAGGCTCCAATCGAGCCCGTGCGGGTCCTCCTGCGCTGTTGCTAAGGAAATGGATGGCTTGAATGGATCCGCGGTCTCGGTTGTATCGTCCTCCTCGCCCCCACACCAGCCTGCCGTCTTTCAGTGTGTGTTTACAGGGACCACTGCGAACAACGTAACGCGTCAGCGCCCGCTCTGCACCAGCCGGGGTAAGGGATTATTTCAACATCGCTATTTTCCCCTTATCGGATCGTAAACAACCGTAAACAACTGGCCAGATATCCGAGATTATTTTTTCGAAGATGGAGATGTAAAGATAACAGTGCGCCAGTTATGAAGTTAAATTCCTGGTAGGCACCTTGTTACAAAATCGCATAACTATTTAAAAGCTGGGATCAGATTAGTAGGTTAACAACAGAAATGAAAGTGGCTGAATTACTCTACATGAGAGGGGCTCTGCAGCTCTAAGCCCACAGAGCTGTTGAGCATTGCAAATACCACAAACTAACGTCTCCCTCTCCAATAACAGCTCCGAGTAACTGTGAAAGCACAGAGGAAGACGGTGGAGAAAATGCAAAGCAAACCCCAGTGCTTTTCTTACCAAGCCACTCTCAGCCAGACACAGCACTTACCGCTCCAGCCTGGTGCTGTCCTTTGTTTCCAGCCTGAAAAAGTCTGTGCTTGAGTGAGGAGAAAGAGAGGAGAAGGGAGAGAGGAGTCCACGGAGATTCACTCAGCTCAATTTCTCATTTTGGTCTCTTCCGTCCAGTTCAGTGGAGCCGCAGCTGAGGAGCTGGCGATTTAACCTGCGGTTGGTGCACCACCAGAGGAGGAGCGAGGGGCGTCTGTGGGGCTGACGAGACTGGCTGCCGCTGGGTGAATGTTGCCTGGAGAGGACAACGGCTGAGGCAGCAAAAGCATTGACTAGAGAAAGGAGGATGGCGTCCACGGGAATGCAGATATTCGGATTTGTCCTGGCGCTGCTGGGCATCATGGGTGCCACGGTGGCCACCCTGCTGCCCAACTGGAAGGTCAGCGCGGATGTCGGCTCCAACATCATCACGGCCATCTCCCAGATGCAGGGACTGTGGATGGACTGCACGTGGTACAGCACCGGCATGTTCAGCTGCACACTCAAGTATTCGGTGCTCTCGCTGCCTGCGTACCTGCAGACGGCCCGCACCACCATGGTGCTGTGCTGCGTGCTGGCGGCCATGGGCCTCTGCCTGGCGTCCCTGGGGCTGAAATGCACTCGCTGGGGCGGCGGACGGCGCTCCAAGCGGCACGCCGCCATCGCCAGCGGCGGCTGCTTTGTTGCTGCCGGCTTTCTGTGTCTGGTGCCCGCGTCTTGGTTCACCAACGAGGTCATCACCAAATTCCTGGACTCCAGCGTGCCCGAGAGCAATAAGTTTGAGCCTGGGGGAGCCGTGTACGTGGCCTTTGTTTCCGCAGGTTTCCTGTTAATGGGGGGGTTCATCTTCTGTATGTCCTGCTCGGGGAAGAGGCATGGCCCTCAAGACCTGGTCCTGCTCCCGCCCCCGGACAAGCTCCTGCTCCAGCAGCAGCAGCAGCAGCTGCTCCAGCAGCAGCAGGAGCTCCAGCACCAGTACTGCTCGCTGTCCCCGCTGGACAACAAGACTGGCTACAGCCTGCAGGACTATGTGTAATACAACAGCACTGTGTACTCTCCGGCTGAGGTGAGACGAGCCTAAAGGAGGAACCATAACATCGTATTCTCCACACCGGGGTCTACTCCAGACCGAGGTGGAGGAAGAAAATGAGAGGAGGGCAACAACTTTGAATTCATTTTTCCCCCTCGCCTCTATCTTGCTCGTCTCTTCTTTTTGTTATGTTTTGCAAGCACAAGCAGTGGAGTATTCCCCAAGCAGCGCCTTGGAACAGTGCGAATGTGTAAGGAGCCGGGAAGAGGTGCAGCAGAATCGAAGGAAGCCGTTAGCAAAATGCAGACATCCTTCATCCTAACTCACAAAAAGATCTCCCTCGGGGAACGGATTAAGCAAATAAGAAAGCCTTCCATGTAGATTCTTTCCCCTCACCAAAGGTTTGAAATAACAGGAAAGAAAGCAATCATTTAGCTGCTATTTACAATCGTTCGTATCAACACCCCCCCCCCCTTTGACAGAATAGGCAATATAAACCTCGAGAGCAGTAAGTAAACCCCCCCCTTCATAAGCAAGCCATTTTGATTTTTGTATCCACTAGAATGCAACCTGGAATCGATTGAAATAAATGGTAATATTTTTGTTAGCTACTAGAATGATGTTGATATTTTGCCTCTGAAGCATGCTGTGTGGAGCCTGTCTGTATCAATGCAGCAGAATATGCCTGGTAGAGGACTGAGCCACACAATGCCTGTGCCTGAAAAGCTGTAGAAACATTACCCTGCTGTAACTGTTCAAAGAGGACTGTCAGGAGGACGAGACGTGGGGCCACTGGGCTGGATTTCAGAAATAATACGCAGACCAACAGATGCCTGCGTCTCTCTCTGCAGGTGGAAATATGAGAGGGCTGGAGAGAAATTGACAGGAAGAGATTCACGGCTTCAGCAGAGCAGACCATCTGATATGCTCTTTTCATATTTCCATCCAAACATAAACAACATGCCTGTAAGTAGCAACCACCCATCGCTAACCATTCCAGACATGCACCTCCACGTGCTTATATGTGCTTTATGCGTCTTCATGTACATGGAGAGACTTTTTTCATGTCATCTTCACTGCTGTTAACTGCCTCTGCGCTGCCATTGAATCAGAAGTGAAACGTGTTTACTGTCTCGGGGTATGTGCATGTCACTTGGAGAGGCTGTTTAGGAGGGGGCATGTTCCTGTGATCAGCAGATATTTAGGGGCTAAACCCAAGCAGAAATGGAGTGGCCTCTTGGCTCGGCTGGATGAGTGTGTAGCAGGCGGCTAAAAAAGGTTTGACTCACTCTCCATATGTGACTTGTTTTTCAAGTGCGTCAGCAGTGCGCATATGCTGCTAGTCTACACCTGCAGAAGGTCTCGGTGTCTTAAATTGCAGCCGCTTGACTATGCCAACATTCCTCTTATACCATCCACTCACTTCTTATTTTTCCCACTCATTCCCCCGTTCTGCTTGTGTCACACATCACGTGGATGTGATCCCTGACAACAGAACGCTGATGCGTGTTGAAAGTGTACCCCCCCCTCCCCCTCCCCCCATACACACATTCAAACTCACACACAAACAAAAAAAAAAAACATAACTCATATGTCACTTGCACGGCTATGCTTTCATGCTTATGCTCTTGAGTGCGTCCACTTTTTTTAAACTGTGAGGGATGGATTAGAGAGGTGTATCATGTTTAAGCCGGAGACAGGTCTTAGGAGGCTGTGATGTATAGAACTGCACGTTCTCTCCTTCTCTCTCATAAACACGCAGCTTCCTGGGGGAGAGCAGATGGCAAAGCCCAGCTCGCCACCTGCAGGCTGCTGCCAGCACGCCACAGGCATCTCTGTGGGCACTGCTGCCGGCCTTGGCGGCCCTGTAGGGCCAGGCTCCGACCCCACCCAGCCTCGGCCGATTCCCCCAGCTCTGACTTGAGCTGATGGGACTGACCTCCTGACAATAACTCACTGCCCAGGCACCATAACCGATGCAATAAACAAGTAAAGAATGTGCCATGTCATCAACTAAAACTGACACGTTATGTGTTTCGAGAATGTGCCAAATTGTCTCTCATGACGACTCCTTTTAATAATATCTGGAGTTCTTTCTGTTTATTTTTTTTTTATTGCGTTGTTTGTACATGACTTATGCATTTGCAAATGTTTTATGGATTTGTGATTTGTTCTGCCAGACTAAGTCTCAAGTCAACTAGATGCTTGTGTACAGTCCAGTGCAGCTTTTGAGGGTTATTTTAAATCCTCTTTATGCCTCATTCCCCAAAGCACAGCACGACTTCACTGGGTATGAGAATTTCATTTGGAAAACACAAGTGTTACATTTTCTAAAAAAAACTAAACAAAACAAAAAATGTATTAATGTCAGAATTGAGTTTCACTTTGGTCTGTGAAAACTGTACACAAGTGTCTGGATTTTTAAGGAGTTAGTTTTTACTGAAGTATCAGTACTTTGGATTGTGTCAGTATTAAATATAAAACCACATTCATGCCATATCTTCTTTATAAGAAGACAACTCAGTGCACTTTTACTTTGTGTTACTATTTAACAGCAGTTTGGCTCAAATGACTGAGCATTTCGGGCTCTCTGGACCAGTGTGAATACATAACACAAGTGGCACTCGTGACAAAAAGAGAGCGACTGCTGTCTGATGGGATTCAGCAGGGAAATGCGAGTTAAAGATTTCTCTGTTTCGTGGCTGTGCAGCTTGATTCTCAGCACGCTATTTCATTTGCTTACATTCAGCCAGAGTTCATCGTGACTTGGTCTGAAAAGTCTACAGAGAAACAATGCATTTACCGTGCCCAGACGTTGGCTGATCATTTTGATAACTGCAGCTTATTTTTGTGAATGCTTTAGCACTTCTTACTTTGCTGGAGCATATTTGTGATGATGAACAGTTCACAAGTTCTGATACAGTTGTCTCAATGTGCTTGTGCAAGTAGTTCTATTTTTTACCAATAAAACTATTTTGTGAAAGCAACGATGTGCCTGCTGTACCTTCTGTGGTTTCGTGTGGTTGGTGAGGAAATAGCACTCATCTTTATGCCAAACGTACAGATTGCCTGATGGCACAGACTGTTCCGAATGCAGGCAGGAAGGCTGTCTGCTCATATGGAGCGCCCATGAATACAGCATTATCAGTCCAACTGAAAGAGGCATCCATAAAACATTACCGTGAGCAAGTGGGTTTTTAAGTAAGGATTCTTCTAATACCACTCCCAAAACCTCCTCCTGTGTCTGCTTGCTCAGATGATAGCATAAGCTAATACATGAATGAAATAATAACACCCGAGGGGTTTAAAGGGATGGCTGTTATCTGGGTTGGCTGCCTTATCTGACACAAAGTAATGAGTTTACTGACAACATGACTGTTTAGAAATAATTAATGACGACCACAAAGGAAAAGGGGAAAAAAGCATACATTTTTAAAAAGCTATTTGTGTCTGATGGTGCCAAACCAAAGATTGCTATTTTTCTACGTTTTCTGGGTTGATAAACAGAAAATCTATCATTTGGTTAATGAAAAAGAAGTTTGTACTGTGTTCTAGCCAATTTGAAAAAATATATACATATATCGGGCCATTTGATCAAAAGATACTGTCCAGATATTTTAGATGTTTGAATATCTCTACAACACACACTCAATAGGAATCTCATCTATAAGAAAAACAGAAAACAGCTTAATGGAAGAGGTACATCCCACCATGGAGATCTTTCTCATTAAACCTATTTCATCTGAGCACAATTAAGTTAATTTATACGCACATTTTCTTGAAATAAACAATCTTCACAGCATGCAGAAAGACCAGCAGAAGAGCCACAAAAGCCGCTCTGAACGATCAAAGTTTATGAGACTGCTGCATCAAAACACCCTTAGCCTTTAAGCAAAGCGTGTCTCAGACCAGAACCCAGCACAGAAATGTCTTTAATATCTGAGCCCTATAGACTAAACACTTCACACGGAGCACTTATTAAATCAGTTAAAATCTGGGCTCTCATTAGTGCTGATTGGAGTCTCCATGAAATCCAGCGAGTGAGAATCTGCCTCCTGAAAATACCATGGATTATTAAAGGATCTCTCCCTCTCATTCTCCCACTCTTCTTGGTTATGCAACAAGAGTGCACTTCAAATAACCATTGTTCTCGCGGGGAAATGTTAATAAGATCTGCTCCTCTGTGTATTTAACCTATATTTTCCATCAAAGGCTTTCACCCCGAGTTATCGCTATGACAGATCTGGAATATGAGTTTTAGACAAGAGGAGGTGAGCAGGGCGTAATTATGCATCTTTGAGCCTCTTCTGTGTCAAAATGTACAGATAATTTGGTTAAGCTTCCTGACCAGAACGTAATCACCAGAACAATCTCTCAAAACGCACACACTAACAATGAGAAGTAACGTGAGAGATGGGAAATAATGAGGCCATGATGGCACTGTAATGAGGGGTTGACAAAGACTGAGTGAGAAATGCAGAGCGTGGGGAGGGAATGCCATCACTCATGAAAAAATAAAACAAATCAACGCATTCCTTAAAATACTCCGAGAACCAAACGGCGCCGTCGGGTCAGCGCTCCTGATATCCGGACAGTCGTTATGCTCGCGAGGGCTCGGGCTGGAGACGGAACGCGGCCGTGGATTTTTGAGCGAGAGATGACCTTCCTTTGTTGGAGCGGCTCCGCTGTGGTCTCGGCGCTCATGTGAGGCTGCGGGAACAGCTGCAGCGACCTTGGCTGCACAGTAAACTGCTGACAAAGGCAGTAAAAGCTACGGAGATGACAAAAGGAGGGCTTGTAGGAAAACAATACAGGCTGACAGTTCAAAGGGGGCCTTTTAATATTTCAGTTTAGAGGAGGGGTCGACGGGCTCGCCTGCCAGGATTCTGCAAACTAAGGTTGAGGGAGGCTTAAAGCTTGAAGGGCGTGGACTCGTCATTGATATTTTGCAATCCATATCTTCTTTGATGGCAGGGACGGCTGTTCAGATGATGCATCGGATTAAAAGAGACGGGAGTAAATTCAAGTTCGACTGAGACGTGAAACTGAGTCTGCACCAGTCTGATTTAATTTCTTACCAGTGTTTCTAACTCGACTATACGATTGCTTTGCCTGGAAGGCAGCCAGAGCCTCACCCCCCCTCCTACACGCTCACTAACTTAACATAGCTGAATTTGCTAAACTGTGAGCGCTGACACCCAGCGAGCCCGCGCAGTTCCGTTTCAGGTGGAGCAATAGATCTCTGGAGATGCTCTGCCAGCCTCTGCATTTTGTTTAAGGAGAGGAGACAAGGGGGAGTATTTTTAGCGCCTCTTTACCTTGGGTCTGTGATGTATTGAGGCGGCGCCTCCCAGCAGTTTCCCTTCTGGCACGAATCGTTGAAATAACTTCTTCAATACTCCTGATACGGTGTTTGACCCCGTTTACGGGAAAGGAATAGGTCTGGATGAATTGCACGAGAAGAATGTGTGGCAGGAGGTCAGGAAGCAGCACAGGCCCTCGGAGTTGACTCTCAATCCTCCTGCCCAGGCGCGAGCAGGGCCGAGTGAGGTCACAGAGACGGTATTCATCACTGTGACCGCGTTCCACTGGACTGTGGTGGGTCAATTCAGCACCGAAACATATGCTCCAATTCAAGGGACAGATATATACGTACCTCAAGATATCAAACACCAGTGGACACATTAACTAGAGAGAGAAAGCGAGAAAAACTATCGTAAATCTCCATCTTAAAGTATCAGGTAAGACGGAGCTGAAGGGGCAGAATGTTTACTACCAAACTCTGCCTCACAGCTGCCAAATATTATGGATGCTCAATTCGGCATTAACAAATTTAATTGAGGCTCTGCTCGTCTGGCCTGTGCTCTTGGTCGACGGACGTGTACAAGGCGAACATCTGTAGGGCTCGCGTCTTGTTAGCTGGTGGGTGATAGCTGATGCAGCCATTACTCACAACGCGCTCCGACAACCATCTGCTGAAGGGACGCCTCATTCTCCCCCCATATTCATCTCTGTCATTAATCTGTCTTCTGGTGCTCCGTGCCGGTGTATAGTAGCCCCCGTTTGCAGGCTTTGTGTCACCGCATGCTCTACATGCGGGCTTTATTTGGTCTTCTACGTTTTTATCTCAGTGTGATTTTAGTCAGTAACCTGTTTTCTGGCATCTATCAGCCATCAGCTTCACTGCATTTAAGATCCTGGGATTCTCTTTCTGCCGCCTCCATGTTGTACAGCAGCTGCCGGCGAGAAATATGGAGCATTAAATGTGGTATAGTTGCAGTTCTCAAGTGGAAAAGAAAGTAAGATAGTTTAAAAAGTCAGTAAAAATTCAGAATGGATGCATGTAAAGACGGAGCATAGATAAGCCTTTATGACCAAATGTTAGCATCATAGATCAAGAAGCCCTGATGGCAGAATGCACTCAAACTCCTTGACCCCTGACCAGTATATAAATCAGGCTTAAAAACTAAAGCATAATAGGGATAATTTAGGTTTTGTTCGCTCAGTGAATCCATCTCTTTGAGAGTTAGCCAGAGAGCCAGTAATAAGGAGGCAGGTGTCATGTGAAGCAAGGCAGACAGGGCATTTTGAGGCTGAGAGGAACACCATCAAAGCAGCCGATTGTGGCTCCCAGAAACCTTCAAGCTCAATCTCAGTCACTCACTGTGACACAAAGAAAGTGCACTGCAGTCTGGGGGCGAAAGGGACAAATTAAACAGCAGGGATAAGAGACTGTCAGCCTAACCCATGTCAATATGGACCCAGCAGCTGCTGATGTAAAATAGATGCAACATTTCCCTTCTCATTAGGACGTATTGGTCGCCTCCTCGAGGTTCTCATCAAGCCACACTTTCCTTTTCCCTCCACTTCAACCATTTTTTCCCCCCCATCAGTTTCTGCAGTTTTTGCAGCGGCTCTTTGTGACGCGCTATTTGTTTGATTACACAGCAGTAAACCACTTCAGAGGTTTTTCACACTTCACTTACTGCCATATGTGTAACATCACCTGCCCCGGCTCTTCCATCCGCTTTGCTGAACAAAGACTAAATGTGGGGGAGGACATCTACAACTGCCACTGGGCGAGAGGGATGAAAATGCTTGAAAATACCAAATTTGCTTTACAAAAGGTGACTGAGTTGACGGGATAAAGGACAGACAAAAAAAACACATGAAACGCACAGAACCCTGGGTTCAGATACGACAATGAAAGTACAAGACGAGACAAAAGCCCAGTAGTGCTTCTGTTTGAACAGATCCCTCTTCATTAACACAATCAGTGATCCCTGAGCTTCAGTGGGAGTGAGATAATACCTGCAATTAGACCACTGTGCTGATTTATTGGCTTATATGGCACAGCCACACGCACGTGTCCCTGAAAAATCTCAGGTGTTGTGGAAACCGAGAAAAACGGGGGAGAAAATAAAAGGCGGTAGCTTTATATGGACATTTGCACATTATATTTAGAAACAGCATCTTTAATTTCACAGTATAACCACAAGCAGTGTTCAGTTGCAACACCCGGGATAGTAACCACTACAGCTAAAACAAGTCCTGCTCAACATTAAAGCCACCTGGCACAGCTTTTGCTGCAGCCTCTCGGGCCTAAACAGATTCGACCCTTCAGGAAACGTACATGGGAACGCTAGAGCCGTTTTCACACATGCAGTGCTGTCCTGGAAGTTTTCCGAGAGGCTCCGAAGGGACGACATGTCAGGAGGCAGAGATGACAGAGTGAGACAAAGTGTGAATGTAGCTGCTATTCACCCGCAGCATTTACAGCAAGCTGGTGTGAATGCTGGCGAGCGCCGCCTTCTGACTTCTTCTGCTGACCACTATCGGGCTCCTCAGCCTGGATGTATTCCACCATATATTCACCTAGAGTCCACAACATGCCCCACAATATTCGGAATACATGAAAAAAAAATGCCGTCAAGGATCCCCATCTGTCATCTGTGTGCGCTGTAAACATGAATTTCCACAGGGCACCATCTGCATTATCTCCAGTCTCCTGTGCGCTCGGCACAGACCGACGTGCACCCTCCGAGGTCCAGCTGTGAAAGTGCCCCTCCAGCACAGAACTCTCCTGACTCACACTACAGATATGGCCATAAATACCAAACACATTTAACTGTAGTTCTAAATCAAAATAATACAATCACAATTTTTATACATGTTTAAGCAGATTTGTACTGTTTTGTATCACTACTTTTTATATCCATACAAGGAATTGATCGAATGTATGAAAAAAGCTTTGCTTTACTGAATTCCTGAATGTCACATCGCAGCCTCGATCAGTTCCCTCCTCACAGCCTTTAATGCTGGCCCGTAAATCAGGACAGACGTTTTTACTGTTTCTGCAATTCTGCGTAATTACTCTGCTGTGCACAAGTAAACAATGCGGAGCCAGAGAACTTTTTATGAATTATGCTGCGTGACATACAGTAATAGTAAGAAATGGGCCTGCATGGCGCAGAGGGAATTGCGTTCAAATATCCTGCATCTTCTATGATCTTTTACAGGATATTAGTGGATTGAAGCCTGCTCATCAAACAGTTATCACTTCTCCATATGATTTCAATTGGACCACATGCCCATTAAAACATTTAGTGGGCATAGGTGGCCTGGGTTGGCATGCGAGAGCCTCTGATTCATCTGCACTGAGAGCTCGGATGTGCAGCCTCCGTGCTTCGGTACATCTATAAACTATGCAAACGGAGGGTTTTCAGACCATTTGAAGCTTTCCACATTTTTCTTTCAGACCTTTCAGACTACTCTCAAATTGGCAGAATAGTGGTCACCCTCAAAGAGCAATGTCAGGTTTTGAGCCCTTCTACTTTACAAAAAAATGAAAAAAAAGAATGTGACACTGGGTCTGATATGCTCATCAATGTGAGACTGGAGAGAAACGGCTCTGCCTAGAGGACATAATGTGCACATATATAACGAGCTCCGTTTGAGGGCGAGTAAAAAACACATCTGAAAGAAGCCTGCAGAACTTAAATTAGGTTAAAAGTGGTTAGAAATCATTTGTGACGTGTTTCTGCAATCCCGATTCCCAAAAGGTTGAGATGCTGAGTCAAATACAAATAAAGACAAACTGCAATAATTTAAAAACTATCCTAATACTTTTAACATTAACTTTAATCTGAATGGTAATCTATTATTTCTGCCTTCCACATAAGCAGGCTAAAGCAGGCTAAGATGAGGCAACTGGGGTGTACGATGGCCAATGGAGCCGAAATCCGGAAAGAAATCCTCATCTATATTTTGTCTCCCTCTTAATAGTGAGTGAAAGCTGATCCACGTGATAGAGGCTGTTGTCTGTACACAAAGGAAACGGGATTGTGGGAGGGAACCAAGACTGCAGAATTTAAAGTGCCTGAAGCACAGCAGCCTTCATCATAAAGGACGGAATCACTCTGAAGATAGAGGAATCACAAAAGGGCGTCCACTGGTGCAGCACTCAACCAATAAGGGCAGACAGGAGCCATTTCCCTGTAGCAGGCACACAAAAGCCAGCTGTGGGTTTGCAAAACGGCACCTGAACCACTCAGAGACCCCGAGAAGCACAACCCTCAGAGCTAAACACAGTTACAGCTATCTGGCTTTAACGTGGCTGAGGCCAAAGACCAAAGAATTTCACATTAACAACACAACTACAGACAAATCCAGTGATGCTTCCTTGACAGAAACTGGAAGAGCAGAAGAATGATTGAAGAAAAACATGCTGGAAATACAGAGAAATTCATGGGCACTGATTCCAAAGGAGCTTGAAAATGAAAAGAGGTCATATGTTTGAAATGCTGGGAGTTTTAAGGGAAATTCTGAGAAAGTTTTGGAGTTGGAGAAAGCCATCACTCACAAGAGAGAGTGAAGCTGCTTTTGGTGTCAGTGGTCTTAAATCAAAGACACAAAGTCTCAAAACTCATAGACCCTCATAGTCTTTTTACTCCAAAGCAAAATCTGAAATATGTTTCGGATATCAAGTCAAAAGAATTAAGGGAAGCCATTATGAAGCTCTGAAAACCTTTCGTACGCGTCATTTTTCGTGTGCACACACATGTGAAAACTCTAAAGCGCTAACAAGCACGCTGCGTCCCGTTAAGCTACAGCCTTACACAGACTTACACAAAAAACTACCCGCTCTGGAGAAAACAAACGCAGGGAAAGGCAGCAGAGTGTGATGAAATAATCATTGGAATTCCTCTCTTCTGAGAGAATGAAAAATCAGCACTGGTCCCATTCAGTCTGCTGCGTTTTACTCTTTTGCGAGAGATAAAACATTCAAAAAACGCCACATCTTCAAGGGACCTGAAGACCATCGGAGAGCCACCTCACACCTTTCCTCTAATTGTGGAGAGGGACACATGGTTTTGTTGATGCAAAGATGTAAGAGAACTCCTGAGCCTTTTAAAGATTTTTGAGTCTAAACCAAAACACATCTTAGAGGAGTGCTTTATTGACCACTGCTGGCGTGTAGAAGTTTAGAGCCGTTCATTTGCTTTCTCAATGTATCCACAGCTCTTAAAATAAATCATCAAAGCAAAGATAAAAGAAAAAGTGTCATGTTGCATAAGACCGAACGTCTTCTTTTTCTTTTTGCCACTGAAATGCTCACGTGGGCTGAAAGACGCAGACAGCCAAGTTGGACTCAAACAAAAAAAAATGAAGAAGAAGAAGAAGGGGGCCCTCATTATAGTGTGATCGTGCCTCAGCTCAAATACCCACCAGGCATCATTACAAGCAAGAAAGGGTGCAAAGACGGCAGAGACAACAGTGATTCAACACTGTCTTAATGAGGCCTTAAAGCGAGAGGACAGAGGGACGGATGAGTGATGGGGGACTCTGATGGGAAGAGGGAACCAGATGAGGAAGGGAGACACGAGGGGGTCCCACTGTTACCTGAGGGGACAAGTCTGCCAGCTGCCACCTCTCAAACACTGACACCAAAGACGTCAGATTTCAGAATCGATTTTGTGTGTGCGGGTTAAAATGACCAAACGCAGGCCGAAATGGAGCCTGGTTGGTTGACCCGGTAAGCAGCGTCCTGCTGTCTCACCTCTGGCTTGGGGACAAAGGCTCGTCCAGGGATGGTGAAGCAGTTGTGGACGGTGCAGAGATACTGAGCCATGATGGAAAGACGACTCCTCTGTCTGCTGCCTGTGCTGGCTGTCAGCCTCTGGAATGAGACAGCACAGACCATCAAATATAAAGATACAATCACTAGTGTCACACTGTACTTCAAAGGTTATACGAAGATTTAGACATCAACACGAATTTGTGAAAAACTCCTATAGAAAGAAAGAAATATGCAGCACAGTGGTCATTTAAATGCATCGTAATGACGCTTGTGTGCCAAAATTTTACTTCTGCTCTGGCCTGAATGATTTAGAAATGAAGCATCCCGTGTTTTTCTTACTCAAGAAGCAAAATACTATTAATCATTGATCAACAAATCAATCTTAGAAGCGGGCAGTGAAATAAGAAATTCATCACACCATATTTTCAAAGAGTCCCGACTGTGCAAAAAAGCAAAAACATTCTGTGGTTTTTGTGCTCATTTAAAACAGCGCTGCCGCCAGAACTAAGCTGGTGACTGGAATCAGATTCTCAACTTGACTGGCTGTAACAGATAAAAGCTAAGATAAAGGAAAATAAATTATAAATAAACTGTCATTTGAACACAACATGTGTGCAGTCAAACGAACACATAAAAAAAGCTTTGGTGTGAAAGCCTTGTTTTGCCTTGTCAGAAACACCAAAAGCTTCCAATTTTTGCGTTGGATCTGAGGAGTGAAGAAAAGCTGTGGAGGTACTACTAACTAAACTGGAAAAACAAACTTAATTTGGCATTCAAAAGACCATCCATCACATACACGACACTTGACTGGGCAACAGAGACAAAAATCGCTAAAATTCAAGCTGGGAAGCTCGCATAGGCCAGCCACAGCAGCGTCTGCTAACTGTTGAAAAAACTGAAAAAAACACAGAAAACAAGCGTGTTTGTGGCAGAATGATGTTTCATTAACTTTGAAAGGTGAAGAGAGTTTCCTTGACAACTATCAAAACAAACTGTAATATTTAGGGAAGGGAAGAATTTTAATGGTCACCAGCCAGCATCTGCCTGTGTTCACCCACCTCTGCCACCTCTTTCTGGAACGTGAGTGTGAGTCGGGTGCGGCCGTAGTGGAAGGGCCCGCTTCTGTTGGCCACATTTTCCAGCCACTTGATGATGAGGGGCGTGGAGACGTTGAACGGCAGATTCCCGATGACCTGAAGGTTCGGAGGCTCTGTGGAGTCGCACACATTTCCACACACACTTTAATAGGCGCTGTTTTACGCCTGTGGCACCTTTGCTTAGTTAATCCCCTCACCGTCCTCCCATGACTTAGAGATATTTGTGGGGAACCCTCGATCCATTCTGTAGGTGAGGATGTCTCCGTGGACGATCCTCAGCTTGCCAGGGGCTGCCTCAGACAACAGCTGGGGAAATGATTGAGAACATTTAAAAAAAAAAAACTAAATCAAGCAGAGATCAGCCCATGATGAGGTTAACATGGTGCTGCTGTATACTTAGGTGTGTTCAGTTCACCTTCAGACCAGGAATGAAGCGCGAGTCTTTCTCCACAACGAGAAGATCTGCTGCTCCGGCGTTGATGATGGACCGCGTGAGTCCTCCAGGGCCGGGACCCACTTCACACACATGGACATCCTTCAAACTGCCTGCCTGACGCACTATCTTGTCTGAGGAAATAAAGAAGGGTGGCTTACTACATAGTCATGATGCCATTTTTTAACAGTCAGTGGAATTCTTGCCATTTTAAAATGCAAAACACATTCCGATCCAATGTCGTCATTAGAGTCTCAGACGTGGCTCCATTTTTCATAACCTGTAAGCTCCTGTGTAGGAGGGATGAGATGCATTAATCTAACAGTCACCTTTTCGAAGGACAAGACAGCAGATCAGATCTGCACTGCATCACCGATAATTATATTACGGCTCCAGCTCTCAAGGGCTGCAATCAACTGAGTAGGGTCCATTTACATTAGGAGATCTGTTCAACCCACCCACGTAGAAAAGCCTGTTACTTTGAATGTCTTTAAACACAGTTACACAGAGACGTGCTTTCATAAGAAAACATGCCACAGTGCCATGGATCCAACAGGTCCCGGTACACGCTCTACAAAACACACACATATACGAAATATTAAAAAGAAGCAGAAACATGAAATTGGGCAACAGACCTGTGAGCCTCAAGTCCAGCAGAAAGTTTTGGGACAGATGCTTCTCTGCTCGCAGGTTGTAAAGTTTTATCAGCTCACCAACTGTGGGCAACGGAGGCAGGCGGAAAGACGCAATTTTCCTTGAGGCGGCCATTGTGCGGCTGAAATCTGATGGAAGACACACACATTTTAAGACAGTAAAAATGAAGGTCATTTGTGTAGAACTAAGGTGCAAAACCTGTTTGTTATTGATGAGCATATTTGTTTTGGTTGACATTTTTCTATTGTGATTACTCAAAGCTACTGAATATGTACCCCACATATATGCAACAGAACATCCTTCTATCTATCGATTGATTAGTAACTTTTGGAGATTATAAATATAATAAATGCCAAATTGGGGCAATTAATTGGTCTTCAATTCTGTCCTCATTGTTTAATTTCTGCGCATTTAATGTTAGAATTTGCTAGTAATTTCTAGCAGCACACAGAAAACTAAATATCTGACCTAAAGCAACAAACTCTTCTGCCAAACCAAAAACCAGTTACTTGACATCCCACATTTTGACCAGATTTTCTTCGTGTCAAGGTCACTGCAGCTTCAGTTAGAACTTGTTGCGATATATAGCATGAACTAACGAGTGATGCTGGGTTATTTAACCAGTCAGGGGACAGAAAACACACATAAAAAAGGAGCCGTGAGCTGCGATATCATATCAACAATTGGATAAACTATGTAGCAATTGCAGCTAGTATTAGCTCCGTCATGTAAAGGCTGCTCATAGAGCTCATGTGCAGGCTGTTTACGTGGAAGATAAACCAAATACTGCTTTTGAAAAGCAACAAAAGAAGCGTTATAGGCTAAAAATGTCATTTGTGCACACACGGCTGGAAATACAAAACGGTATACCCACGTTTCTCTCAGCTGTCCCGTTCTCCTCCAGTCTGTTTCCTTTTACGTCACCGCATGCAAGCCAGAGTATCCAATGAGCTTTCGAGGGGGGAAATTAAAACCAATCACATTGGTGTGGGCGTGGCTCGTTTTTGTCCTTGAGAATGCGCTCGTTTGTTGACGCGATGCAGCTTTAGTGCCACCAGAGGACGACATTTCACAGATGATAGTCTGTTAAATTTGGAGAACTAAAAAGAAATAACTATTTTTTTGGCTACTGATGGATGACTGCTTTTTTTTATTTTTACCATATCGATCCAAATGAAAGCTGACAAATATCAGAATATGAAATGAAAGATAAGACAGTTTAAAATGAATTGAGGTTATTCTAAAAATGTGAAAGAGGAGGGAAAGGACCATGTTAATTTACTTTCAATACTCAGGACTACAATTATTTGGATGCAGCTTGTATTCTCGTATTTATTCTTTGCATAAGCAGTTTGTCAAAATGACTGATGCACAGCTGTTGTTTGGAATGAGACCAACAGCCCTGTGGTCTCTCCTCTCTGCTCACGACCCACGCTGGGTCACAGACGTCTGAGCTTGATTTGGAAATACCCATTGCCTCCAGTTTGGCAGATGACTGGCACTTCTGTCTCATTTTGTGGCTGACCTTGGGACAGAGACTCAGACTCTAAAGAAGGAAGACAGAAAAACACTGGTGGCTGCTGAAAGTCTGCTGTTACGGAAACTACTTAAACATTTGATCACAATGGATAATGAAATATGCAAAGCATGATGATGAATCGCATGACAATTCCCTGCTGAAATCAATTACATTTAAACGGCATTTTAAAAAAGAACCTGTTAGAGAGTCACTTCCACCATGTATCTCAATGACGTGTGATCAGCATGCACAGGAAATGAAACATACGTAATTAACATTTCTGAGATGGTAAGTCATCACTGCAACGGGGAGTTCAGAGGAAAAACAAAGTCAGAAATTTTAAGAGTATATAATTTTTGGGGCAATTTAGACTGTAGAAACAGACTCACTTCAATAAACACAAAAACCACAAGAGATGAGATGCCCGTATGTTCAGCAATAACTTCAGCCATGATGATAACTCACAGTTGAGTCAGTATTATTTTCCTGTATGTAGCTGGATGTGTTATTGATGCTGCAATAAGGTCAACAGGGTTAAAAGTCCCTAAAGTGAAACCAGATGTTATTGTGAACACGCTGTTTACTATGGTAACACCGAAACTCCCTCAACAGTTTTTCTACTACAGTTTGTCAAAGATCAGGGTAATGTGGAGGGAGGCGGCGGTGGAAAATGACTATGGATGTGTATTATTTGAATATTTAGATAGTTATGTCATAAATCCTGTTAATTTTCATGAATTTGTAGTTGCTCTGAGACCTGATTAAGGATAGAATTTGGCATTTCCAATAAAATCTAATTAATTTTTTCTTTTATGGAGCATGTTTATATTAAAAACAATCACAATACACCCTCAAGACAAAGCTGAATTCTTTCTCAGTCCAATATGCGTAAGCGATGAAACATTTTCTGGTAAAGTAAACCTCTTAATCACATCAGTGAAGTCTCCGTGAAGTCTCCAGTGAGCCTGCACTAGGTGACAATGGGGAGGAAAAAATTCTTGAGATGCAGCCATATACAAATACCATCAAGAAGAATTATATAGCCAGACAGTTTCTTTAAACACTTGTGTCCAAATACAAAATGTTTTTTTTTTATTTAGAGGCAGAAAATACAATTTCATCCAAGTTGCTATATTTCTGAGACATGCTTGTAGTTTAACCAACTGACTTGTTTGATCTGATTTACACATAGCTGAGACACATCAGCCTAGAAATGGAAACTTATGTCATGCAGCCTGTTGATGTAACAGAATGGAAATTTGTATGTGGGAAAAGGTTGTTGCGATTGGAGAGTGGACAGATAAGGAGCAGAGGGCTGTGAACTGATCGTGGACTGAGTGCAGGTGTGACGTGCAGCCCTGAACACCAAACACAGAACAGACAAGTGCTGGAGCGAAAGTGGAACCCGTGATTAACCAGAGAGAATAAAAAGACAAATAAAGACTTGACTAAACCAAACAAAATAAGTTCTGATACATCCCAGTCACTCAAGAACACAAATATGTCGAAGTGCTTTGAGTGGTTTGATAGATTATAAAAACACTGTAAAAGAACAGTCCATTTAAGGTAAAATGTGTTAAATGGGGCAGTTCAAAAGGGCAACTATTGACATGAGTTGGACATTCAAAAGAGCTCTAATTAATGTAAGGTCTTGGACTAATTGATATCCATTAGTTTATGATTTGAGGAGTGTGCACATAGAGAGAGATGACTCACCAGTACGAGCAAGTGTGAATCAGTGTTTAGCACTGTTACGTCTGTGTTAGTGTTCCCGGACTCACATAGTTATAGCATTGCAACCACAGTAAAACACTTTGAATGAGTCTCTTCTCTGGTGTTTTGTGAAGAATAGAAATTAAACTGTTTTACAATGTCAATGTGATCTTTTTTATGTACGCAGAAGCGATGACATTTATCATTTTTGGACAGGACGTGATTGGGGTCTGAATGACAGTATCAAATCCGTATTTAGATGCACTTGTCAGTCAACCTGAAAAAAGAAAGAGCCCATGGCACAGGACGGCATAAAATAAACCTCTTTGCTTCAGTACTTAAATTCCTGTGGAATCCAGGGATCCAGTTCTGTGGTATTTATGTGGTAGTCTGAGATTTGTTAGCCTTTGTTTTTTTTCATGGTGATTTACATAAGGACTTTTTGTTTTAGGTGCAAATGTTTGTGAGTCTGACATGATATTGCAATTGTGGGAAATTGAAAAAAAAAACAAATTTGGCAGCTGTTCCAAAAATATTTAAGAGCAGTCAGTCAGAAATACAGAAGTCAAGACAGAAATGTAAAAGGATTATCTTTGGAAAATGTCCCTGACCAGTCCCTGAAGGTTTTGGTTGATGCTGGTAGTGCTGTACTGACTTGCTCAGAAGTCCTTAGCTTTACATTCTTCTCCAAAATGATCATTTGTTTAGTAAATTTCCGTGGCATGGTTGAGCTAACCAGCTCCAGCAGCAGAGACCTCCACAACAGTGCAGGCTGACCTCCCTGCTAGTCTTTTTGGATGTTGTTCTAAACATGTCAGGTTTATTGTCATAGCTCCATAAACCACACAGTTACTGTTCCACAGGTTTGTGTAAAAGAAAAGCCTTTAAAACTCTGAGTCTTGAAAACCATTTAGCTTGTACAGTCTCTGTGTCCGTCAGGTCCTTTTTGATGCACTTTTGAAAATATATTCTTATTTTATAGGGGCTCAAAATGAGAATTGTAGTTGAACAAAAGAAACGTTTCAGCTGTTCAGGAAGTCTTGGAAACTTTTATAAACATCCTTGAACTTTTTTTTGCAGATGAATACCTTCTTCTTTCTTATATTTGCATTTTTATATACATTAGTTTGAAATACTGTTCGGATCAAATTTCTGGGTTTCAGAGAATGATTATACATGTTTGAATGTGTATTGTAACTTGCAGGAATTGAATTTATTTAAATTTCCAGATTATCAGAAGGCTTTAGTGCGTGAACCATGAAATCTCAGCAAAATTGAATATTATAAATCTTTTTGGCCCATTTTCCTTTTTTTTTTTTCTTTTTAAAACCCTCTTCAATCAAGTCTTGGCAGCTGGCCAGGAACACCGCGTTCCCTGCTGTCTCTTAGTCTTATCTAATCTCACTCAGCTTGGAAGGCTCATTAGCATCTGTCAGCGCTCCCAAAACTGAAAACGATCCGAGAAAGCTGAGGTGATGTCTGAACAGGACAAGTGGAAGTGAACTGCGAGTTACAGGGGGTGTTTTGGCCAAAGGCAAGCATTGGATGGGACCTCAGTCATTACATCATTCTAGAGAAACTTGGGTGGAAATGTAAGGTTCTTATTATTAGAGATCAAATGTATTCATTTTCTGCCAAAGATTTATTTGATAAAACATTAACGAAAGACTTGTATGACAAAACAGACTGCTCATTTTTTGTATTCATCACCCATCTTGTATTAATCAGATCTGAGAGCTTTTCACTCTGATTGCATCATATAAGTGTGGGAAGCTGAGCCCACATCCTGATAATGATTCAAAGCAAAGGCAGCTCCATTGAGCCCAGACAGGACCACCGTCCAGCAGGCATTGTATATATAGAGTAAAATCACAACAAACCTCTTCCTTTCTGAAACCCACCGCATTACTTCATGCCGGGTGTGGGAATTATGGCACGGAATCAAAATACCCTCCTCGCGAACTTGACTAGATCTTTATCATACGTGAAGAGATGACTTCATATGTGGGAAGAAAGGTGCCTCTCATATAAGTGTGCTTTGTGTTTTGGACTTTTCATTTGCTCTTAATCGTGATGAGCGTCAAAGCATTAATATTGTCAAACATCCTTTGAGCGATTTCCAGAGCTGATGAGCTTGTGGCGAGTGTATCCTCAGGTCATAGGGAGACAGCTGAAGTAAACTAAAAGTCAACCAACTTGGCAGCTTTGTGTTCAGCTTCACCAACAGATTCTGGAGCAAATTATACTGAGACAGTTTTACTGGGTGTGTTTTTGTCCATGCAGACTGTTAACACTTGTTATGATTTTCTCATGATTGGGTGTGAGAACGGTTCAGACTGCAGGTATTATTCATGTCATTGAACACAGCATTATCTCAGAGCCACACCCACGCAGTCCAGCAACAGTGATCCAGGAGCAGTGCTACTCTTGGGTTAGACCCTCGTTGCAACACAGAAATACTGACAAGTAGGGAGTGAATGTATCCACATCCATCTGACATAATTCTGCAGGGAGTTTATCTCTCATTCAACCGTTGTGTCTTTTATTTGCTTTGGTTTCCACATAGAGATCAAACTGTCATTCTGTTAAGCAGGCATTTTTCCTCTGGTCACCATGCTTCAACTTTGAGTATGCAGACTCCTCTGACACTTCGGACATCCTGTTGTGTAACTATAGGACCACAAAAATCACTCAACGACAAATTTAATGTAAATATGTTTATATGTTCATAAAGAAAGACCCTGTCATATTACTCAAGGGAGAAACAAGAATATCAAGTACATGTAACCACATGCTATAGCTCTTCTATGATACCAAAATGTTCTATCAGATCTCATGTGTATAAAGAGGTATAGAAGTATTTCCCCTCTGCATGAACCTCTGTTTCTGCATATCTCTACCATAAGTCATGCAAGGTTTTGACTTTAGTGCTTATATTAAGATGATTTAAAAGCATTAAGAATTCAGGAAACAGCCAATAATCCTCTTTACTTTCACTGATAAGAATGAAATAATCAAATCTGACATTAAAGTCATTAGGCTACTTTGTTGGAGGCATATTGCATACCCCTAAGAATAGCTTTGAATGGTACAAATAGTTCACGCGATATAATACCTGGAGGGAAACAGCTCTCTATCTGCATATTATCTTTTTTTCAAAGCACCATAACAGGATATAAGAAAAAAATATGTTAAAACAGTCTTGTTCTGTGTTATAAAATTCTAATATTCTATCTCAGAGGGTTTAGCTTTTTATTGGGATTAAAGGAACTGCTTTAGGC